ATAACTTTAATTGAATGTCATTCTTTAGACATTAAAAACAAAAATGCATTAAACCAAAGACTTATTGACAGAGGCAAGATGTAAAATACCCATTGTACCCAATTTTGTCAAATACTGTCACACAGCAAGCGATGCATAAAGGGGCAATAAATAGGAAACACTAACATGTTTAATTATTCTAGTAAGAATTATTTTTATCATTATTCACAAAAACAACAAGATTTTAAGGGGGTGTTGTTGGTGTGAGGGTGTTTTTTTTTTTTTTTTTTGGTTTTTTTTTTTTTTTTTTTTGAGACAGGGTTTCTCTGTGTAGCTTTGCGCCTTTCCTGGAACTCACTTGGTAGCCCAGGCTGGCCTCGAACTCACAGAGATCCGCCTGGCTCTGCCTCCCGAGTGCTGGGATTAAAGGCGTGCGCCACCACCGCCCGGCTGTGAGGGTGTTTTTTAAGTTGTTGTTTGTTTGTTTGGTGTGTGTGTACATGTGGCCAGCAATCTGTGTTACATGTCCCTCAATTCCCCCTGAATCTATAGCTCACTGTTCTGCTACACGGGCTTACCCAGAAGCCCCAGGAATCCTCCTGTGCCCACTTCCCTCATACTTGCATTATAAGCATGCACTACCACACCCAACTTTTTTGTGGGTACTAGGGATCTGACTCAGTTCCTCACTCATGGAATAACCCATCTCTCCAGCCAGTTGGGGGCAGGGTGTATTTTTTAAATGAGCTCACATTATTTTTACAACCAGGAAAAAATTTCTCGAAACACAGATATAACAAGGTTGCATAACTAACTGTTATGTGGGACCACAGATAATTGCCAAAATGCTGAGCTCATCAAAGTTTACCCTGAGGACTTGAGAGTTCAACACAGACAAGAAGAAAGAACATATTACCCACTGTGTTTCCCTGAGATACCAGGACTTGCCTTCTCAACACCAGTAGAGCCTTTGAGAAAGATGCCAGAGCCCTAGAGTGCAGCAGTTCTGTGTTCCCGTCTGCAGAGGACCATGACTCTGGAGAAGTGAAGGAATGAGGGCAGAATGATAGGTGTGGACCTAGGGCCTGTGATAGCATCCATGAGGCCTCATTGCAGATGCTGCCCTCTTCCCCAGCAGCTGAGTTCTGGGAAGGCCACCATCCCATGCCAGGTTTGGTGAGATTAGGACTGGTTGGCCTCTTGCCTCCTTGGCTGTATTGTATACCACAGCCTAGTCATTTCAGGTAATGCCTGTACCTACCTAGTGATGGGATCTTTGTCAGCTCTCCTCTAAGGGGTTGGTACCTTTTCCATTTCTACCAGCAATGTAAGAGCATTTCAGTTGGCCCATGTTCTTGTCTACAGTGTAATCAATCTTCTGGATCCCCCCGGTTTTGTATCCCAGTAGGGTAGTCATAATTAGTTTTTCTCCTTTGATGATTTTTTTTAAAAGGCCTCTTCAATAGTGACTGTGTGGTCTCTCACATCCCTGGTGCTGGTTGCAGGCATCCTATCCATTGTGGTCCCTCCCTGCTGAGGGCTCAGCTCTGCTGCTCAGTGGTGGGTGATCTGTTTGCACCTCCAACCAACCCACTGAAATCCCACATCTTCTGGACTTCTTTCTAACTTTGCATTTCTCTCCTTTTGGATGTAGCTAAGCAGTTTCTTTGTGATTACAAGCTGTTTGCAGATGCTTCGCTGGGAAGTCTTCAACCTATCTTTTGTCTGTTTCATTTTATTTTATTGTAAAACAGTCTGTTTGCTTTCAAAGGATGAATCGTCTGAGGGAGAAATTCATCAGAGCAAAGAACAGTATCAATTAGAAATTCGGACTACTAAAATATAACTTTTTACAAATCTAAACACAGGCAAATAATTTCTGCTATTCCCAATACCCATCCCTAGAACTTGTCATTAGCCAAAAAGAAAAGCCACCTCTAGCAACGAAGGCACCAGAGGACAGTGATGACCAGTTTTTTTAAAATGTAACAAGAATATTTTCCAGATAAATTGATTAGATTTTCAAGGTACATGAGAATTAACCTTTAGAGAATGTCTTCTTAGATTTGGTAGAGATTGTTACTAGCATAATTAAAACATTTTATTGTATATCGCAGAACATTTAATTGCCCTAAAAACTCGTTTCAGATTATAAAATGTTCACTACTTTTATCTGCTATTAATTGAAGAATAAAACTGTGTGCTAGCTGATGGAGGAATTATTTTAAACCATACTTAAACTTTTTGCTTTTATTAAATAAATGGAAGAAAATTTATAGAGTATCCAAAAATAAAGTTATTTCAGATTATTCTGAAATTCCATTATAATTATTTTTCAGGACCACCAGTGTTTCCTTACGCACCCCCATTCGGTTGTGGAATAAATACTGTGCCAACAGCTAACAAAAAAAAAATTACAAAATTAGCAATTAATTATACTGAATTGTTATAATTTTAAAAATAAAATGATTGTAACTTTTTTTTTATTAAACTTATTCTATAAGTGTTCTCTCCAAGAAGCAGAACGCCAAAGATGGGGTTTATTATTGCCTAGAAGCACATGGAATTGTGGGAGGTGGCTAAGCAGTCTCTGGAGAGCTCTTTGTCATCCAGTCTGCTGCTGGACAAGCCTTGGGAAGGTCTGCATGAGCCAGAGCAAGGGCAACACACACATGCTCATGTACACACACACACACACATGCATTTGCACACATGCAGAGCTACAAAAGCACACACGTGCGCATACAACCTGGGGCCACCGTTAATCCATGTCAGTTCTTGTAGATTCTGACTTTAATGGTATGGGTGTCTTTCAGAGGCCAGGACCTGTGTGACTCACTGGAACTGGCCTAAGAGTACAGCAACTGCAGATCCAACTGCCTCTCGCCTGTGAGACAGCAGAAGCATGACAACCTATGCGGACGACAAGGGGTGGCCTCTTTAGCCACCTCCAAGCTCCCCTCTCCAGCCCCAGCAGTCTCTCTAACCAGAAAGGTGGAGGAAAGGGAAGTCTAGGCATCGGGTTTCAGCCCTGACGATTTGACACACTTTAAACACACAGCAGTCTACCCTTGTCAAGGCGGCACCCACGCACATGCTTAAACCATGTTTTCAAATAAAGACAAAAGCGGTCGCACTTTGGCCTGACGTGAAACAAGTGCCCCGCCACACAACCAACTGGAAGAGCCGCCCATAAGGGACAGGTGCAAGGCTCATTGAGTTCATTCTCCAACAAGCACTCAGCATTCTCATCTGGTGAACTAAGTTACTAGGTAAAAATAATAGACTTTCAATGCATCTTCTGGTAAATGATCAAAGGATTGATCTCAAGGAGAAAAACATTTGAGCAGCACACAGCAAATGACAAGAAAAGAATCTCTGTTCCACATCTGCAGATGGTCCCTGCTTGGGTTACTTTTCACAGCCCCTTGCTCTCTGCCAGTGCCTCAGCTAGTCATGGCTCTTTGCCAGCTGCAGCCTGTAAATCAATTCTAACAGAGCCTGGTGGTTTAAATAATAATTTCACCGCCTTTGTAATCTAGCTTGCAAGTCACTTCTCAGAGATAGTTAAAATACCTCTTGAAATGTTCAGGTTTCAAACAGTTGAGTGCTATCCACCATTACAGCAAAACCCCTTCCTCTCGCATAGACATGAATAAACTATCTTGTTTCTTATACCAGTAAAATCAATATTCAGAAAGTACTAAATCACTCAGCAGTACATGCCAGTAATCTCAGCACTCAGAAGGCTGAGGCATGGGGCTTATGTGTTCAAACATCACAAAACACCAAAAATTAAATTAATAAGAAAATGCTGCTATTAGATTTGGGAGATGGCTCAGTGAGCTGAGTTCAGTCTCCAGAATCCACATGAAAATGCAGGCGTGAGGGGTGGTGGCATGCAGTTGTGACCCCAGCACTGGAGAGGTGGAACTCACTGGCCAGCTAGCCTCCCCTATCTGGAAAGCTCTAGGCCAGTGGGAGACCCTATTTCAAAAGGAAGATGGAAGTACCTGAGGACCAACAGCTGAGACTGCCTTTGTCCTCCACACATGGGCATATACACCTGCATGCATGTGCACACACATACACACATACACACACACACACACACACACACACACACACACACAC